TGACTCAAGTTTTGTTTCCGGCAGTTTCTATCGCTTATAGTAATACGCTAGTAAATTACTCCAGGTAGAGCAGGCTCTCAAGCTGTAAAAAAGAAATTATCTGACATTCTTATCCCCTCTTCACTCGACCAACACTTTCGTTGGCCAAATTAAATAAGTAGTCATATAGAAAGTTACACGAAGGATACCGAAGAAACCACTGATGCAACGAATTGTCTGCGTTTTTATCTGGCACCCGTGCGCAAAACATTCCGCTGTTAGCTTTACAAATTTAAGCCTACAGCCATGGCAGTTCTGGTTCCCATAATGTAATCCTAAGTTTATCCATTAAGTTCAGACGGAATTACCAATAACCCCAAATTTGCTCATTAGTGTAAGTGCTATTGTTTAATTTATATGTCGTATTTTTTTAAAATTTATCTGTTTTTCCGAAGAGCAATTGGCGAGCATACGTATACTTTCAATAAATTCTCATCAGGCCGTTACATTTGTATTGGAGGGAATAAAGTGTAAAAGGTAAAATTGTAGGTAAATTATGTTAAACGTTACGGGTACATTAGTCCTGGGGATAGGGGAGGGGGTTGGGGTTGGGGTAGTAACAAGCGGCAATTAGAGAGAGGGGGGGGAAGGGAGAGAGGAGGTTCGGAAAAATGCCGGTAGCTAGGTGGCCGTTGGCTACTGGCATTATTCCGAACCTCCTCTCTCCCTCCCCTTCCTCTCCCTAATGGCCGCTTAATTAGCCGCTTGTTACTACCCCAACCCCTATCCCCTGGACCAATTTGCTTGTAACGTTGAGCATAATATACCCACAATTTTACCTTTTACACTTTACCACCCTCCCATATAAATGTAACGGCCTGATGAGAATTTATTGAAAGTATACGTAGCTCGCCAATTGCTCTTCGGATTTTTGTGATGGGAATTTTTGCAATCTTATCTGTTTTTATTGACCGACCACAAAATCCTCGAATTTGATCAAAAGTACGTAGGAAGCACTACAACAGTTCCTCCGGCGATGTCCACCGGTGACGCATGGGCAGTTACTAACGCCTGGATTAGTTTTAAGGCTTACGTTGCCTCTAACGCACTTTCTCTGGTGCGGCAGTCTGGTATCTGAGTCTGAAAAAATACTAAACCTAATAACCGACACGCATAACTTTGACGTAGCTCGGGAAAGGAGACATATCTCAACTTCACTCAAAAATCTGCCGCTTAAGAACAGCCTT